AGCAGGAATCACAGCTTCCTGCAGAGCAGGATCTATTGTCTCCAGGTACAGTAGTGCAAGTGCTGGCAGAGTGACCTAAGGCACTGGGAGTCCTGCAGGAAGATCCCTTGCATCCTCCAGTGACTTACACCTTTGGGATGTCTGTGTGTCCCCTGTTAGCTGCCCCCTGGCAGGAGGATCACGTCCCAGGGTGTCAGTTGTCATCAAAAACACTGCTGTTCCTGTCACTGGGGCTGCTCTCCTTGACCATCACTCGGTACGAGATGCGCATGAAGGAGCCCGTGAGCAGCACAACAAAGAGGATGAGGAGCAAAGACCAGACCCCTGGTTCAATCCCCTTGAGGAAGCTTGGGCTGTCCTTGGGGATGGTGTTGGTCAGATTCAGCAGGTACCCAAGAGTCCAGCCAGAGGATGGATCACCCATCTGCGGAGTTAAGGAGGAAGAGAGGTCAGAAGAGAGGGCAGTGCAGCCCAGCTGTGTTTCTGTGCACAGGCCCAAGGCCTCGTGTGCCTTATTTGAGACTGAGCCAAGGATTGGACTTGAAATGAGGAGCTCTCCCAGCTGAGTGCCCTGACCAGTCTCACCTGGGACTTCCACCCCTTCCATGGGCCTGGGAGCTCCATTTAACCTCTGGCCTGAGCAGCCATCTCCCTTTCCTGAGCTGTGTGCTGTTCCATCTTCTGCTCCCTGACTAGTTTTCTCAGGTGGGCCTCTGGTCTACATTGTGGGTAGTTCCATCTCTGGCCCTGTTGCCTGGTTGAACCTCAGACCTGTGTTGTAGGTTGCCCTTCTCTGGCTTTCCAGGCTGGGCTCCCTGGATGGACCCTGGACCTGCCTTGCCTTAGTCTGCTGGTCAGCACTGGCTGCCCTGCTGCCCCTGAGGTGGCCCCTGCTCACTGGGACTCTGCTTGGGCTGGTGGGTTGTGAAGAGGGTTGGGAATGGGCTTTCTTTCCTGTTGTGAAGGGGAGGACCCAATAAAAATCCCCCTTTCCTTAGGGGCTCCTCATCCTGAAGGAATTTCAGACCTTATAAGCCAGTTACAAACCCTCACTAGTAGAAAGGTGGTTGCAAGGGGGTAGAGCAGCATCTTTTGGCTCAGGAAATACTATCAGCAGTTTGTCCTTAGCATGAAGTGCTGATGAAGTCATACTTCCTTCCCTGTTGGGCACAGACTATCAAAGATGATATTGCTCCAGATAAGGTTTTGACTCATATTTTCCAGTGGGGACAAGTGGAATCTCTAGCTCTCTGACACTGGTTTTCTTCCTTATCATAATTGTGAATTTATTTTGGAAAAAAAACCAAACCTCTTGCTGGAGAAGCCCAGCTGGTCAGGGCTTGCAGGAGCAGGCCAGGTTGGCTTTGCTGAAACCAGCCCTCCTTTGTAACTGGAAATACCACAATGCAGGTTACTGACCTTCTTCTGGAATGCAGTCCAAACAGACCCATCAAAGTCAAATGTGTATCCCTGTGTACTGAGATGAAAGATGAAGGCAGACACAAGGCAGTAATCAGCAAGGGTATCCAGGCTTCTCTGAGACTCCTTGACCAGCTGGTGTCATTTCCAAAAGAAGATAGGGGGAGAAAAGAGGTAAATATTTAGTAGGTGACTTTCAGGCTTGCTGTAACCTCACCTTTCCTGCTCTAGGCCTGACTGTGGGACTGGTTTGTGTCCTGAGCAGACTGAAATGGTACCTCCTGAGCTGTGGTCTGGGAACCAGTGTCAGCTCTTAGTGCCTTGGTTTCCATCTTATTACAGACCAGGCAGCTCCAAGAGCTGCAGGACTGGCAGCCAGGTCTCCTGCAATTGCCTTGCAGGGGAGCTGCTTGGTCTGACTTACTGCTCTCTAATTAGGCTGAGCTGATGCCACAGCCTTTCTCTTAACAGGAACATTAGTGAGAGAGGGAGATGGTTATGGGCTTTGCTACCCCATTAGCAAAACCTGTAGAAATTGCCCAGTGTGAGTGTTACTGAGTGCTCAGTCAGTGCAGATCAGCACTTCTCAGTGTGCTCCTCAGCCACTGACCGAGGAAAGAACTTGTAAGTCCCCCTGGCTTAGTCTCCATGGGCCCTGGAGATGGGGAAAGCCCTGGAGTTGAGTGGATCTGTTCCTTGCACTTCAGGAGTGAGCAGAGAGCCTTCCTGTTTACTCTGTCATAGGCAGTAGAAGGTTCTTGTGGCTTTTCATGGAATGCAGTCCAGGTGTTACCAGCAGCAGCTGGGACTGGGGAGGAAGGGAAGTAAGTGGAGCCTGTTTCCTCAAAGCAGAAAAACCAAAAACCAGGCAAATCCAAGTTTCCCCCTGAGGGAGCCAGTAAATTATGGCTAGGTCAGTCTGAGCCCTGTGGGTTTGTGTAACAAACTACTCCTTGCTTCCCACTCTCCCTGCACACAGTTATTCCATAGTTACCTCTTTGGCAGACATCCCACAAAGCCTGTTGACTGCCTGACCCAAATCAGGAGAGGGCACAACTTCTCTCATGAAGTCCATGGCCTCAGAAATCACCTGCAACAGCAGCAGAAGAAATGATCAGTGCCTGTAGGAAAGTGTGAGCAGCTGTGGGGCAGGTTGATGGGTGCCCTCCTGGTGTGCCTGTGGTGGTGGTGATGGGGTCTCTGGTGGTGATGCAAGGAAGACAAGCAGCTCTGTTACTGCCTGGAGGTGGAGACAGGACAGTTCCTACCTTGTATCCAGGTAGGAACCTTCCTGGCCCTGCCTGAGTAAATAGACTAGTACAGATGCTCCTTGGCACCATGTCCATGGGAGGCTCTCAGGAACAAGGAGCTGTAGAAATTTCCATAATTCCTCCCTCTGAAAAACACTCAGTTTGTTCTAGGATCTTGAACTGGCCTTGGCTTAACAACCCAATGACTTTGGACACTAGGTCCAGGGTCTCAGGGATGAGCATGCTTGTGGTGGGACATGTCCACATGTTTGTTAAAGGATCCTCAGCTTTACCACAGACTTGGGGTGGGAAGAGCTGCTCAGCATGCAGCTCCTGGCTGTCCTATCCCCACTGGCTCTGGGGAGCTCCAAAGTCTCTCTTGCAGGCAGACATTGCTGAGACATTGATGAAGAAAAGCCCTGTCACGGCCATTGGTGGGAAGCCTGTGGTCCATATTTGACCAGCTGCATTGCAATGAGGGGGAGAGGCCAGGAGTGGCCAGAGGAGATCATGAAGATGATGGGAGGGCTGGAGCAGCTCTGCTCTGGAGCCAGGCTGGGAGAGTTGGGGTGTTCAGCCTGCAGAAGAGAAGGCTCCAGGGAGACCTTAGAGCAGCTTCCAGGGCCTGAAGGGGCTCCAGGAAAGCTGGGGAGGGACCTGGGACAAGGGCAGGGAGGGAGAGGATGAGGAGGAATGGATTAAAACTGGAAGAGGGAGATTTAGGTGAGATATTAGTAAGAAGTTATTTAGTGTGAGGGTGGTGAGACCCTGGCCCAGGTTGCCCAGGGAAGCTGTGGCTGCCCCATCCCTGGCAGTGTTGAAGGGCAGGTTGGATGGGGCTTGGAGCAGCCTGGGCTGGTGGGAGGTGTCCCTGCCCATGCAGGGGTGGGACTGGATGATCTTTAAGGTTCCTTCCAACCCAAACAAATCTAGGAGTGCATGTGTGCAGCACTAGCCAGAGCACTGGCCCTCTTGGCTAGCACAGAGCCCAGCGTGGCTCTTCCCTCTGCATTTATTAGTGCTCAAACCAGTCCCATTTCATGTGGTTTCCACACCAGTTGCATACCCAAGTGTAAATAAGAACTCACAAGAAACCTGGTCCGGAGGGGCTTGGAAACACTGCTGAGGGAATGGTTGGAGAAGCTGCAGGAGGAGGAGGAGCTGAGCAGGCTGTGCACGAGGCTCATGCAGGCACTGGGGTCGCTGGAGCCGCTGACATTGAAGATCTCCTGGCCAGGGATGTCCCCTGTGTCACCACTGACTGCACAAGGCCCAGCATGCACCGACTGCCACTGCACCTCCTGGGAGTAGGTGAGGGGCCAGCAGGGGTTAGACACAGCTGCAGCACTTCTCTGGTCCTAGAGACAATAAAAGAAGGACAGAGGCCACAAAAGAGGGGGTTGGTGTCTCAGGGCTTCACAAAGGAGGACAAAATATGACACAGTTATTCATCTGGCATGTTCATCAGTGTTGTCATTGGGCAGGCAGGCTGCAAACCTTCCCCAAACCTTCTCTCAGTTCATCACCTGCCAGGCCCAGATGGATGCAGCTCCTGCAGGGTCCAGGGGAAGCTGCAATCACTGGATCTGCTGGGGGAGGCTGAGATGTCCCAGCCCCACCTGCTCACCCTTTGACCAAAAATGCAATGCCAATGAGTCCTGTACTCTTTCTGATTTGAAAAAAAAGAGGCTGTTCTGGTCTGCCTTCCAAATTGCAGATTTGTTCTGGTTGGAAAAGACCTTTAAGATCATCAAGTCCAACCATAAGCCAACTCTACCAGGTCCAGTGCTAAACCATGTCATAGAATGGTTTGGGTTGGAGGGACCTTAAAGATCATCCAGTCCCACCCCCTGCATGGGCAGGGACACCTCCCACCAGCCCAGGCTGCTCCAAGCCCCATCCAACCTGCCCTTCAACACTGCCAGGGATGGGGCAGCCACAGCTTCCCTGGGCAACCTGGGCCAGGCTCTCAAAAACCTCATAGTGAAGAATTCCTTCCAATTTCTAACCTCATTCTCCTCTCTTTCAGTTTTGATGTCCCTCAGCACCACATCTATAGGCCTTTTAAACACCTCTAGGGATGGTGATTCGACCACCTCCCTGGGCAGCCTGTGCCAGTGGCTCAACCCCTGGAGAACCAGTGTTTATCTCTAGGAATTCCCCAATATGAAGCTGTGATGAAGTGGGTCTTCATATGGGACATTCAGGTCTCAGGGAGGGGAGCTGTGGTTCCTAGGGAGCCAAGGGGATGGGCAGTGAGTAGTTTATCTCTGAAAATTAGATTTTGGTGGAGACTCAAATGGCTCATGAGTTTGCAGCAGATCCTGCCCCCTCCAAGTGAAATAAAGTTTGGAAGAACCAAAACACCTGCATGTTTCCCAAATGAAGTGTTGCTTTTTGAAAGATGCTTCAGGGTTAAAGTCAGCAAAGGGCCCCACCCCACGTGGAGGGTCCTGGTGGGTTCCCAGGTGCTGCTGGTCAGGCTGCCCTAGGTTGGAGGAGCAGTTATGGGGAATCAGGGGAAGCCTTTGCCTCTCTTCACCCTGAAGGTGACCTTAGCACCTCTGGAGGGTAGTTTTAAGCTCGTGTGTGTGAAGGATCTTGAGTGGGGGGGTGTGTGGCTGCTCAGGGGGCACCAACTGAGGCACAGAGAGTGTTTTACAAATGCACTGGGCTCTTTTAGACACATGCAAAAGCCTTCTCCTAGTGATTGACATTTTGCCTCTTTTGCTACATCCTGTGAAGCTGTTGTTTAGTGATATTGTATCTGGGATCCTTGCAGATGCCCTTCTGGCAGGTACTCACCTGGATGAGCCTGGAGAGCAGCCGGTGGCGGAGCCGCTCCGTGGTGTGGCAGGGGCAGGGCTGGGTCTGCACGTGGTGTGTCTGCCCGTACAGCTGCAGCCTCACTGCCTCCTTGGCTGCCTGCTTCTCTCCTTCCACCTTGGAAGTGAGCTGTGTGGAGGTTCTTCCCATGGACAGGACTCCTGCCATCCCCTTCCTGGATGGGACCAACTGCCCTCGCCAGTCGTACTGAGCCGGAAAGAACCAGAGAGGACAGGTCTTAAGACTTCTAGACACAGATGCAAGCATTAGTGCACAGAGGGAGAAAGCAGCTCTCTGGTGCTGTACAGCCCAACTTTTATTCCCCTCTCCCCCCACAGGACATAAAGATGGTGGACTGGTGGCTTTGGAGGGAGCAGGAGCCATTGCACAAGCACTTCTGACAGCCAGCAAGAGCTCACGGCCCTGGGTGGCTGCTCAAAGCACAGCAGGTATGAGCAGGGGAGAGAGGAGAGGGCTGGTGATGAGGAACAGGAGGGAGGTTTCCAGGTGGGCAGTTGTGGGCTTTAAGTGCTGCCTTGAAGCTGAAGTGATCCTCCTGCT